CTTGTCATTTTAAACTCACATTCAGCATAGAAATAATGTATTTGGACCGTTTTTGTCATTTTTTACCATTTAAGCCAACTTTTGTCATTTTGGTCAAAATTATCATTTTTGTCATTTCAATCAGTCAAAACAGTTGGAGGTCGGAAAATATATTGCAATTTTTTTGCATTTAGCCCAACTATGGGCTAGATACAATAAATAAAACATACATTATTATTTTTTTTATTTTTTTATTAAACCATTGTACTTAAAAAATGGAGATAAAAAGTCAGCCAAGGCACCAGAAGTTGCAGTATTCATATACAACCCAAAACGATACCAAGGGCAGAAAGGTCAATGTTTGCCACAAGGCTTGAAAGCACCAGCAAAGCAATGACGGATATTAAAATATTTTATTGTATGCCTTCTTTTTTAATGCAAGAAATAACAACTTACTTTCATATATTTATTTATATATAATTCTACTTTCATTTTCCTGTGACGATATTATACTTTAGAAAGTGCAATTTTGTAATAGATAGAAACGATTTGTTCAAGTAATATTTTAGAATATGATAAGTTTCTTTGTTTCTTTACAAGTTTTCGGTTAAGGACGGATCCAAAGCAATATGTGTGCCTTATATATTTCTCATTAACGCCTTCAGTACTATTTTGTTATTTAGTGTGCTTTTAGTAAAAAAAAAAAAAAATTGCATTGCTAATATGTCTTCCTGTTGTTATAAAGCAAAATGCAATTTTATTTTTCTTATTAAGATACCTACCAAGTACATTGAAATATCTTCCTAGGATATATCTATTAATCACATTATGAATTGTAAACTTTTTAACTTGCTACATTAATATTGTTTTGCTTGATAAAGTTAGAACTTGATTGCAATGTAAGAAATAACAACGTATTTTTAAAGATTACACCAATCGCCCCTCGTGTAGGTGCCAGAAAACACGTTTGATCCGTATTTTTAAAAATTAACTCGGATAGTCCTTGTGTATGTTTTTTCTTTCATGCTTAGTCCCTCCATGCATAAAAATACTATTTTGCCCTTATTTATTTTTTTTTCCATTTATTTGTTATTTATTAATTAATTATGGATTTGTTTATAACTAATCTATTATTTTTTATTAATTATAATTTTTAGAAAAGGAAACACCCCCTTAAAAATTAACTCTAACCCCTTTAGCTATCTACCACCAAAAACTGCAGTACTACCGGTCACTTCCAGCCACCATCGACCTCTAGCCACCTCCGACCACCATCCATCAACACCGAAAACCATCTAAAACTACAACTTATCTTCATCTCTTTTTTTTGTCTCTCACACACACACACATACTTCTCTCTCTCTCTCTCTCTCTCTCTCTCTCTCTCTCTCTCATCTTTAAAATCTGGTACCTCCACCTTTCACTAACTAATACCTTATGAACCAATGGAAACGACCATCCACCGTCACTTAACCAAATCAAATCAAACCCAAAACATAGGCGTCATTCGAAACCCTAGGCGGCGGAGTTAAAGAATCCTCAGATTGGAATCGTAAGACGATGAAGGCGACGACGTTCCAACACTAAGACGATGAAGGTTCGAAGCAACTCACCTCTACGACAAAAATGGTTCAAATCGTCCATCAGATCTATGAGCTTTGTCAAACTACCACCCTCGCCTCCCGATTTGTGAGTTTATTGATGAAGTTTTCAGGAGAACTGGTAGTGATGACGAAGATGTAGATCCGAGATGTTGTAGATCTGAGACGGTGAAGGTTTTCATGAAGATGAAGATGATGGCGATAGAGACGACGATAGTCAAGATCTGACGAATAGGTCACCTTCTCCTACGAGGTAGCAGTCACGACCACATTACAGTTCCAAATAAGGTGAGGCGTTTATAAATAATGAAGTTTTTGATGGCGACAGATACAAAGATTTAGGTTGTTTTTTCTAGGGTTTTAGACAAAGATATGAGATGACGGTAGGTGATGGCAGTACACCGTAGGAACTAGGAAGTGGAGATGTTTCCGATAGTGGCTTAGATATATGGTGTTGGTGGTGAACATTTCTGGTGATGCTATATAAAGTTTGAGAGAGAAAAACATAAATTAGATTAACAATGTTAAAAAGGTGGGATAGGTGGGGTCATGTTTCTTTTTTTAATTAACAATAATAGTAATAACATTAAATTAATAGGAAAAGAAATACACAAAGAACATTATGGCCATTTTATATCTATCATGGACTATATACACAACAAAAATGCATATTAAAAACGAAGCATTCAAGTTTTTAGCTAATGAGGGACGTTCCGAGTTAATTTTTAAAAATAAAAACCGTAAAATGCTTTTTACACCTCCAGAATGGACCATCCGTGTAATTTACCCAAATCAAAATTTGCAACGTGGTCCTCAAGTTACGGTGTCTTGACAAATAACCCATTAGTTGATGAGACTTCGTGTTCTCCTTAATTCGATCATAACGTTGGTAACTTAAGAAATTCGATGGCGGCGTGGAGGATGCAGAGGCGATTACTTTCTCTCTTCACAAGCAGCAGACAACCTCCTATATCCCTCCGCAACGGTTAGTTCTCTTTCCCATTCATCGAAACCCTAGATTGTTACTGTTTATACAACTTGTCTCGATTCGTCTGTTTTCATCGTTAAAACTGAACGATTCCTAGGATATAAAATTTCTTTTCCCTCTCACGAATTCGATTTTTTGCGTTGAAGATTGAAGAAATTATAGAAGAAAAGATCATTCAATCGTTGTAGTTTTTTGGTTTGGGAACCGGAGATGAACTAATTACATTCTTTTGTTGCAATTGTGTGTTCGTGATGCGTAGTAGCAGATGAGATTGCAATGAAGTGAAGTGGATATAAAATATTTAGAGGCTAGGAAAAGTTAGATAGATCATAATTTGTTTTTTGTTTCTCAAACTGTGAAATTGCTAAAACAACACAGTAGAATGAGAGTTTATGAATTTCATCTCTAAGAGTTTGATGTTCGTTTTCATTTGTGGTGATGCTGATGGTTTATTGCTAACAAAATTCCCAACTATAATCTTTTCGATTGTGAATATTATTGAGTTATGAATTTGAGAAATCATATGATAATGATCCTAACACAGTAGAAGTTGCTGTTAATTTTGTTTCAGATCCCTCAACGAATTTTCTTCCTTCTCTCAATTCATTCGTTCTTGGTGACCAGTTCTACAAAAAACAATTCAGATCATTTTCAGAACCTGTCAAAAACACAGTAGAAGTAGAAGAAGAGCATGAAGCTTCGGGTTCAAAATCCACGGAGAAGTCTGAAATCGAGAAGACTGAAGTCAGCTTCAGTGCTAAATCTGAGTTGAAGATATCTCCACGACATGATCTTGCAATGATGTTCACCTGCAAAGTGTGTGAAACCAGATCTGTGAAGACAATCTCTCGGGAATCATATGAGAAGGGTGTGGTGGTGGCTCGATGTGGTGGCTGTGATAACTACCACCTGATTGCCGACCATTTGGGGATTTTTGGGGAGAAAGGGAGCATTGAAGACATTTTGGCTGCTCGTGGAGAGGAGGTTAGAAGAGGGAATTCAGATACTTTGAATCTTACACTTGAGGATCTTGTTGGAATGTCAAAATCATCAAATTAAAATCTTTTTTTTTTTTTTATTGATTGTGGGATTAAGTTGATCTATGATTGACATGTTATAATTTAGACTTTTTAAAAGGTTGTCTGATTGTGTCACGTATCACATATACAGGACACCAAATTTGCCAAAAATCACAATAATTACAACATTAAGTTATTTTTATTTTGTAAATTGGTATTTTAGGTAGTCATGTAAGTGATAATTATTGAAAAGCAACTATATTTTGGTCATTTTGTTGTTTAACAACTATCTCATTTTCATCAATGAAAACAACCCAAATTTTATAAGAGATTAAAATGATCACACTTGGAATGAAAAACTTTGTTAAAAGTTTAGTTGATTTAGTGAAACTTCCGACACTAAATATTCCACCCGAGTTATATAGCTATTAAAATATGTTGACAACTTTACTCCAATTCAGTTCACATTTCAGTATTTCACACCAACGTTGGCATCATTGCACATTTCTCATCTGACCTAAATCAAATACTATTGTCTCCAAGATCAAAATTGTGAAATACAAATACAAGATGACATTTAAAGGATATGATGAACTCTTTCTTGTGCAAAATGATAATTAAGGGAACAAAAACATAAGTACTCATAAGTCATAAAAATCTAGCAATGAATGTAACCTCTTTACTCAATTACTCATACAAACCTATATAACCATTACCAAACACAGAGGCCAAGGCTATCCATTAATCCACCACCATCAAAGTTGCTACAGTTTATAAGCATGAAACCTCTTCCTTCCCAACAACTTCAAAAGGAAAACCACCCTGCAAACACTATTTCACATAAACAAAATCAGATGACTGCAAATCCATTTATAGAAATACAAGTAATTAACTAAGAGATCAGGCAGGGTTAAAATAGAAATATAGAATATAATCATCACTACATCATTGGGGTATAGTTTGTTTCATCACCAGATTTACGTGGTTTTCTAAATTCAATCAATTGACTTATATCCGCAGCCAAAAAAGAATTCAAATGAACTGAACATGAGGTTCAGGAATGAATCTGTTAACCATGGGGTTGACTTGAGTCTAATCTGGAGAGGAAAGAGCAGATCATCTGCTTAAAGATTGCCCACAACTCCAACCACTAGCAACATCTACTGTTATGAGGTCATGTCTACACTTGGTATTAGCCTATTAGGTTCTACATGTTCAATTATTATGTTGACAGAAGCACTGCTTCTGAAACACCATAAGCGACATTCTTGCAGCATGATAGAGAGTAGCTTACAACTTATTGTTCTATGGGAGTTAACATAATTGGGATTGGGTGCACAATGTATATGATAATATGAGAACAGAAGAGACGTTTGCAAAAAAATACAGGACCATACGTACCCATTAAAGCTACTACTGCTGTTGTTGTTGCTGGTTGCTTGGTGGAGGCGGCATCCCAGGACGAGGAGGTCCAAAACCTGGCATCTGCATTCCAGGTCGAGCAGGAGGAGGCGGACCAGGCATACCAGGTCGTGGCGCTCCCCCTGGTGGTGGCGGACCCCTCATCATCTGAGGCGGTGGAGCCATAGGTCTTTGTCCATATTGCCCTGGCGGAGGTGGATACTGACCAGGCGGCCGTTGAGCAAACTGGGGTGGCATCTGTGGAGGTGGTCCACGAGGCATCTGAGGAGGAGGACCCTGTCCAGGGTATGGCATTTGTCCAGGTCGGATCACCGGAGCCTGCGGGTAATTCATAGGCGGAGCAGACATATTCGGAACAGGCGGTCGAGAAATCTGCGGCTGCATCATACCAGGAGCCGGCCCACCAATCCCCCGAACCGGTCCAGCTAAACCCGGTTGAGCTTGAATCAAAGGAGCAGTAGGGATTCCACGGCCAGCAGCACGACCGAGACCAGGGCCGGCCAACGCTGCAGCTCCGACGGCTTTAGCGCGATTTTCATCAGGCGGCGGAGGGCCTTCAACGGTCATAGATATTACCTCTTCCCCTCTCAAAAGAACAAGGCCAAGAGTGCGGCGGTCCTCGCGTTCTTCGTTCTTCTTCGCACCTTTCGCCGGAGGAAGCTTACGGAACTCTTCACAGTCTCCGATTACAAGGTTCATGTGGCGGTCGAAGGCCATGAACTTGCCGACTAGCTGGCGCCCGTCTTGGATCGTGATTCGCATACGGTAATTGATGAACTGGAGCATCTTGGAACCCTTAGACATCGACATTGTTGCAGATTTTTTGCAGATCTTAGGGTTAGGGTATCAAAGATTACGAGAGGGGTAAGAGAGTTAGGGTTTTAGGAGTGGGGAGATGCAAGGTTCAAAACTTCAATTGGCGGACGACTGGGAGTGGAGTCGAAATACAAAGTTCTAAATAAGTCCCTAATGTTTCATAATTGCTTTTAGTTGTCCTTGTGCTTTTTAGTTGTCTTTGTTCTTTGACTTCCTACTTTTCTAGATGAAGTCTTTTACAAGAGCATCCAAAATACTTAAAAAAATCTTTAAATTTCATTTATTTTTTCAAATCAACAAACAATTATATTTTTAATTTTATATGTGTATAAATTTTTCTTTTTTAATATTTAGATATTATTTTCATATCTATTTGAAATATTTTATAAAACATTATCTTTTAAATTTCATTTATAGATATATATTAATCTGACTTTTACAGAAAACAGAACAGTGCAAATAAAGAAACTTATCTTTATTCTAAGGCATGTGGGAGTGTATCGTGTGTAACGAAATCCGCCTCCGCTTCTCCCTCCCACAAACTTTGTCGAGTACAATGTATACTCTGGGGCTGTCGATGAGAAAAAATAACAATATTCTTCATTGTTCACATCAACTTTCACATCATTCTTATCATGGTGTTATCACTTTACTCGTATTCCCACCGACCTAAGTACATATCATAACTAATGGAACAACACGACAAGTCAATAACTCTGAGTTGTTCACAAAACTCTAGCAAACTCTAATTATATGCAAGATAAAAAAAAAATAAAAAAAAAAAAAAAAGTCTTAAATCAATCATTGTCTTTTCTATTTAGAGAAAAAAAAAACGGTTCCTAAACTATATTTTGGATATGATAGAAATATAATTTGCAAAAATCATCCCTTTGACATGAGATTAACACCATCTTTTTCAATTGTTAACATTTTAGAAAATGATTATTTTATTCTTATTCTAATTTTTTTTTATTATTCTTACTAGGAACAGAACCCACCTGCGCTGTCTCGTATCTTGCCGAAAAAAGAGAGAGAAAGTCTTAAAATATCACACTTTCACATAATTAGCCCTTCATATAATCATATGAAGCCACTTAGGTTGGAGGATGTAATCAGTGGCAGACGTCTGGCTTTAGGAATGGGGGCCAATGCTTAAATCTTTTTACATATAAATACTCTAATATGTAACATCCATAATGATAATTTTACAATTTTTATATACAATCCAAAACCATAAAGTGTTTAGAGAATAGTTTTTAAAACATTTCCGACATCAGAGTTTCCCCAAAATCATAGATCATAAACCGATGATGTGTACGGTCACGCCTTCACCTTTTCGCAATCATCCGAAGTACCCGAAACATAACCCAAAACCGTGAGTCAACACTTGGTGAGTTCCCCCAAAATATCATCACATAACCAAATAACATATACAATAACAATATGCAGTGGGTCCACAACTAAAAGACTGGATTACCCCTGAGCCTACAACATAAGTCCGACTTCCCCTTGGGGCCCACAACTTATGTCAAACTTGATCCCTTACCATATCAGTCATCGGACTGAAATAGCAGCAAATCCTCAGTACGAGTCTGGCATACCGCCCGAACCTCAGCTCGTATTTGGAATGCTCATGAGCCCCAGTATGAGTCTGACATGCCCTACCCGACCCTTAGCTCAAATCTAGAATACTTCATGGTTTGTTGGCTACCGCAAGGAGCATTACAACCTCAATCCAACACAATATGTCGACGTATACCAGATAATAACATATACAGATAATCATGCAAACAGAATTACAAGTAGTCATACAGATCCACCATACTAGCATATCAATAACTAGCATAATCATGCATATCTATTCCATACTCAACATATCAGTGAGTATCAAACCAATGGGTCAGCCTTGGTGCCTTCGACACACAAGTACAATGAGGAAAACTCACCTCGCAAACTAGACAAAAGCTGATGAGGTATCGACTCCGAATCTCATCTCCAACTGTCTCATATTCCAACCATATTACCAATCTTAATCAAAATCCCAAAATACCCTTAAGGTCAAACTTAATCAAAGTTAAAGTCAAACTGGTCAACCAACTAGTCAAATGATTCAACCCAATCGAGGCAAATCACTCAAATTGACTCAGAGTGAGTACGTGGGACGTACACCGAAGGTACGTTGGGCGTACTTGAGTCCTCGCATGTTGACTACCATCAGGGAGGTTGACCTCGTATGCATGGCATACTCCCAGAACCCCAGAACTTCCATTCAGAGCTTAATGGCTAAAGCTTTTACGTCCAAACTGCAAATCCAAGGCTAAAATTATAACGGCCGCAGATCTGGGCTAGTCAAATTAGAGGCAATAAGTGTCGAAAATGACTTTTTCTACAGCAGATTAGTTAGAATAAATAATCTTAAATAAGTTGTAGTATATGTTACAAGGTTTCCGTACATATAAAGAACGCCGAAATCCGAGTTATAACAAAGAAGTTAGGGCCCGTCGAAGTTTTTCGGCAAAATCGATACGACGTAAATAGTGAATTTACGATAGAGCGAGATTTAGCCTTATCAATCTTAACAAAAGTCGTAGAATACGTTAAACTGAGATCATCCATAAAAAGAACGGCCAAATCTGACTTCGTATGAGGAAGTTATGATTTTTCGAAGTTTCGGATTAGCAGTGTACAACCCAAAATTCGAATAATAGATCGAGTGGTTTTTAGCCAATACGACCTAAATAAGAATCGAAGATCTCACTAAGAGTAGCGTAACGAGAAAAAGATAGGCGAAAACGGACGTCGGATGAAGAAGTTATGAATTTTAACGGGCCAATCCTGTTCCGGCCGGTTAATAATATAACTTTTAAAATAAAGACAAAATTAGCCAATAGAGTCTAAACGAAAATTGTAGAGTACGTTCCCACCTTCGCGTGGATATAAATAACGTCAAAAACAGAGCTCGTATGCGAGAGTTATGATTTTTAGAAGTCGGAAGGAAAAAATTGCGAAGCTGGAGCAAGGTCGATGACGTGGCGGCATCAAGGCCGTCCATCGCTGAAGCAAGCCTCGCACCGGATGAGGCCACGTAGCCCCTTTGCATTACGCCCTACTTCCGAAACGAAGTACGCCTAGCGTACCTCGCTCTTGTACGGTCCGATACTTCACCACGTCGCACCACCCGGAGGTCACCACCTGGCAGCCTTATCCGAAGCTACGCCCCACGTAGATCTTCTGAACGCCCAACGTAGCGAGGCCCTCGCAGGCTATAAAAGGGGGTCGAGATAGACTCATTTCTTGCACCTTTCTCACTTCTCTCTCTAACTTCTTTCTTTCTCTAGCCTACCCTAACCCCCCTAGCACCCAAATAAAGCACCGAGGCTCCCGGAGTCCTGAGAAAAAGGGTCTTTCGGTTTTGAAACGCTGCTCCAAATAAAGCCCGGTTTTCTTTAAAATCCGCTATAAGTGAGCTACGCTTACGCAATTTTTAATATAGCTTTCAAATAATTATAGGAATGTTATTAGGTCCTTAAAATAATTATTTGGGCTATTATTATGAGTTATATTGAGTGTTATTTAACACTTATATAATAATAATAGTCATACTATTAATTTGTCACAGTTATAGCTAGACTAAACCCTAGTAGTATTGATACTAGGTTTTGTCGAGGAAAATTGTTTTAAGAGTAACGAAGTGTTGTCCGAGTGCTGACTTACCACCTTTCAGGTGAGTGTATAGTTACTTTCAGCTTACACATAGATATGAAGTATTTTATATAAATTACGTGCTATGTGTGCATATTATCTGAATACTTGCTATCTATGCTGGATGAACATTTTTATACATGTTTTCAATGATTTAAAATGTATATGTATTTTATATCTACGATAATGTTGGGGTAAACATTGGTAGATATAATAGATGGAATATGAGTTAAATGATGAGTTGAGAGGTGTTATAGACCACGAGGTGAGGGTGAGAGGTGGACGATGTGAGAAGCCTTTTTCCCAAATGATGGCTCCGTCATTCAGCAGAGTATGGATGACAACCACGGACTATTCTAGACAGTCCAGTGGAACACTAGCAGGCTCGCAACATGTAGGTGTTGTGAACGATGTGTTCACCCGATGTACTCTAAACCTTGGTGACCATGCAGACTTGGTGCCTAAACCTTGGTGATCATGCAGACTTGATGCCTAAACCCTGGCGACTATGCAGACTTAGTGCCCATTGTGTAAACCGTGACAACGATGGATTTCTTGCCGATTCCTTAGGATACTCCTTAGGAATAAATGAACGAGGAATAGTTGATTCTTAGGGTAGATCCTTAAGAATAAAGAAGATAATGGGGGTGGGTAATTAGGTTGATTGTTTAATTGTTTGATGATTAAACATAATATATTACTAGTGATTTACATCTCCTTAATCTCTCAGTGTAATGTAACTTCATATCGACACTTGTGATATAAATAAACTGAGTGAGTCAGGTTGGGAAACCTGGTGAGTACATAGGATTTTCAACCCACAATAATATAATTAATGTAAATCTGTTTATGCTTATGTTTCTGTATTAATGATGACATCCCAAATGTTTTAAAATGAATAAAAATACATTTCTTCATAAATGCTTTGATAACGTATTTATCATGTTTTAGTGGGAACAAATTCCGCAACATTTTTATTAAAAGAAACACTTTGATTTTTATAAAGCATAAACAAAATCGGTCTTTCTGGCCGTGAAAAATGGGGATGTCACAGTTGGTATCAGAGCGTTAGTTTAAGCGAACTAGGAATTTGTAAGATTTCTAGACTTAAACTTAGAATGCTAAGCGATGATTGTGAGGTGTGATCACTAGCTTATTTTAGGAATGATGCTTAAATTGTTTTTATGTGCTAAATGATTTGTTATGCTTTATGTTATAGTTTGATCGGATCTATGGTCTGTTGCCGACCAGATCTGGAAACCTTATATGTTTAGGATTCTGAACGTACGAAT